AATATAACATATTCTAACAATAAGTGTATTCATATCAAATCTAAGCAATACAAATTAGTTCACATAAGAGCAATACTTTAGATTGAAATTTAAACCTTATTTATGTACAAGGAATTTACCAAAATAGAAAGATGAAGACCAAGTTCATTTTTTATATAATACGATAGACCAAGTTTTGGCACAAAGATAGACCAAGTTCATTTAATCTTGTTTGTGTTTAAGGAATTTACCTAAATACAAATAAGACATTACCTATTAAAAACATCTTAATTATTAAACGTCTATGACCATACGTTATGTTGGACATTACCAATTACTTTAATGTATTGTACGACCATTGCAAAATATTTTATGCTAAACATGTACAAAGATTTAAATGAATCTAATTTAACTATTATATATACTAAAAATTATCAATATTTGTGCCAAAACTTGGTCTATCTTTGTGAGAAAAAGACCATAAATTAAATTTGTTTCCTTTCAGAATAAAAAAAACATTATTTTGTGAATTGTGACTGCATCATGATCACATTCATGAATGTGGAAGATAGTTCTTTTTCAAGGATATTTTTCCAGCTATATTGCTAGTTAGCCAGTTACAAGTTATAATCTTTGAAATTTTGTAATCTTCTTGCTTCACCAATAGTATCTGTCTGACAGAATGGAGACATGCATTCAGATTAATGGAAGTAGTAAACCTAATTGACTTGGTCAAACCATATAAATATTCAATATCTTGTAATACTTTGTATTTTTTTATGGTTGGTAGTGCAACGATTCTATGTAGTTGACATTACCCATATACTACTATTAATCATTGCCATCATATTAATCCAAAATTATTTCTCCTTTGAGTCTTTTCTATTAGCAAAAATTATTCTTATACAAAGTTTCTTGAAGTGTAGATTTAGTTGGGGGAGTAAAGGCCTAAAAATATTCTTTACTTGTAGTCAAAAGCACACTACAAACAAAAATAATAAGAATTTTGATAATTGGTCTTAGGTTTGTTTTCATACTTAGGGAAAAGTGAGTTTAGAGAAGTTTAGTTCAATATGCGATAATAAGTCTTTAAATATGTATGTTAAGTTTACGGTAAATAAGTTCAATTTTTGTAACAAAAAATTCTATTCAATTTTAGCTTATCTGGGTGTATATAACAACCTTTATTTGCAATTATAATAAATTCAATTTTAATTCCAATAAATTTATAGTAGTTTTGAGAAGTCATGATCAACAAGTTCAAATAAGTAACATATAGAGGTGAACAGAACAATCAAAGGGATGTGATTAAGAAGGTAAAACTACTATATATAGAACCTCAAATAAAAATAATCTGTGATAAATATTAAATTCTAAAGTGTAGACTCAGGCTATGTTCTCTTTACCTTATTTGAGATAAAGTGGTCTGAAAAGTGAAGTGTGGATGTAGCATAGGATACCCAGTGCTTAATATTCCACCTTAAAAGGAGGGGTGGATGGGATTCAAACCCTCGACCTTTGTATCACGTTAGCTCTGATACCATGTTAAATGACTATCTCAGCCAAAAAGTTTAAGCTGATGATTGAAACTCGTAATTGATTTATATACTCTATTAAAACCTTCAGCCGAAAAGGTAAAGGCATTGTAAATGTCAATCTCATATGCCGTAAGCAATAAGCACAATAAATAAATAAATAAAATCAAACTAAATGATTATTAGACCCAAAAATGAGTTAAAAATGATGGTAGCTTTCGAGGATAATCTCCACAGCATATTCCCCGCATTCTTCATGCTCGATTCGGGATTCTATGAAGCCTGCTGCCTAAATAAAATCGCAATTAATTATGAGTATTAAACTATTAAATAATACTTATAGTATACGTATATTCTTGGTCCATTGCATCAACCTATAATTAAATAAAATCTTGGACCTACCTAATATTTATTTTCTAAAGTTTTCTATATGTTTGGAAGTTTAATGTTGAATCAATACTAGCACTTTTCAGGGGGAATAAACAAAAATGACTTAATATAATAACATTATTAGGTACTTAATATATTTTTTGTGACACAAGGCACTTAAAATAAGTATGGTAGGACAAATTTAAGTAATAATAATAATTTTATTTTCTTGCATAAAAAATAATAATTTTATTTTCCACCTCAATACAATGCGGCGTAATAATCTCACATAAAGCCAAAAAATTTAACTAGCTATTAAGTATTTACATGAAATTTTCAAAAGTGAGATGGTTTCAAAATGTCTTATGCTTTAGGCATGCATATTTAATTTAATGGCAAAATTATAACTAGAAAAGTTGGACTACGTAATTACAAGATTTATTAATGTTTCATCTCGAAATCAATTGTCGATTAATGATAATTTGATAGAGTAGTTTATTGAAATTAACTACCCGTCAAAAAAACAAAGAAATTAACTAGGTGAATAATTTTTATCTCGATCGTTGTCTTACACTAACTATTGTTACATACTTACATGTTATTTTTTATGCAAAACACAATGCATGTTAATTATATCTAGAGCAATTCTGGTAACATACTCAATTTGTGTGAGCATCATACATATCGGTTAGTGTTGTCTTTTTACACGATATTTTGAAGAAATAATTGGCAGAAGAGAGAGATCGAAAGAGGTCATTGGGGTTCTAATGGTATTTTTTTTGTGATACAATGAAGATATTTAGTACCATTGAAAAATTGTTGACATTATTAGACCATAGAGTAGTATGTATTATTTACATATTTAATTGTACTATTAGAAATTTAGAACAATATATGTGTGTCATTGGAAGGCTTAATAATACCATAAGAAGGTTTAATAATGCCAATAAACTATCTAATGGGAGTACTATCTTTTTACTTGTTAGCAAACTGCATATTATCCAAGGTAAGACTGAGAGTATAACTAAATAGTAAAAAAAATCATTTAACTATATAAGTTAATTCCATTAAAGTTGATGTTATTTGCTAAACTACTTTCTCATAATATATGTGTTAATTTGTGGCAAATACAATTATCTTAACATCATACTTCTGCAAATATTGCGGGATGTATGATGCACTAAATTAGATACAAAAGGTATCTCCTCGTATTGAATACTAGCTTAAGTCTCGTGCAATGCGCTTTTTTACTTAACCTAATTATTAATTATATACTTCCTCTGTTTATCTTTTATTGCACCATAAGGACTTTTACACTATTCACATAATCTTCTTTGACCATCTTTTGTGATTTATCCGTAAGGAAAAATATAGTCATGTGGGATCTAATTATATTCAATTCGTCTCGAAATATAATTTTCAAATATCAACTTTTTATAATTTTTACAAAAGTATAATTAAAGATATAAATAGCCAAAGTAATGCGTTGGCAAGCGTGAAATCACCCACGATGCAATAAATGAAAAACAGATGAAGTACAATGTTTTTTTTCATCAGAATTACAGTGTTAATTTAACAATAATTTCCCCCCCCCCCCCTCCCCCCAAAAAAAAACCCATGTTTTCAATTGAAACAAAATAAGAAAAATAAGGAAAAAAAAAACCTTGAATACTATATGTATTTTGATGTCAAAAGTTATTTATAATTGTTAAACGTTTTAAAAAATGTAAGAAATTTAATGATTATAGGTTTTTATTTAAGTTATGTTAATTACTACCTGTGCAATGTACTTATATACCCCATCCGTCCCTATTTTGTTGGAATACTTTGATTGGCACAATGTTTTATACAAGTACAAATTTAATTAACGTTTTTTCCTTTTTTCATGGTGATGGTTAATGATCAATTTTTATTTATAGTTATTGAATAACAGTGTTATTATTATTATAAATAAATCAATAACTATATACTATCTAAGCTAAGTGTCAACCCCATTTGGAGCAAAAAAAACTTTCAAAGAAAATATACAAAGTTGAATGATAGTATATTCTAATATATTACCTTACGTAGTATATATTTGTATTTTTATAGAAATACCTAATATAAAATATATGAAAAATATGTTAAAATATTTTTTGTTGAATAAAATATAGAATATACTTTTTTTTGAAGGAGAATATATTTCATATATAATCACCAAAAAAAAAATATGAAGATTTGGCATTAAAAAAAAAAAAAGGAAGCGAAAAAGGCGGGAAGATTTTTCAACTAGAAAATGACATGTGTCATTCTTGATTTCGCCCTTTAGTATATAGTTATTATTATTAATTGAATTATGCTGCCTTATCCTAGTGAAAAAATCCTTTTTTATTTATTTTTTATTTTTTTTAGCTTAAAGTCGAGCTAATATATTAATCAAGAGACAAAGAGTCTGATAGTACATAGGAGGAAATCTGTGCAGGACATTAATTTACCCACACTTGTTCAATACCAAATATTTTCAATGTTTATAGCATTATGAAAAAGTGAAAAACATTAACATAACAAAAATGATTAGTTATTATCAATTTTGAAAGTTTAACATAAAATAATAATATTTCTATCATATTAAAGGTATAAATTAAGCATTATATAGCTTTTATTCAAAATTAAAAATAATAAAACATGTTCGGTCCAAGACCGATTTTTAAGGAGTTCTGGACCGGATCAGACCGAAGACCTTTTTTTTTTTTTTTTAAATTTCTCGACTTGAAGACCAGGCCGAAATAATTAGTTCAATCCGAGGTGGGTCATCCAGTTTAATTAGGTCCAGACCGGTTTTTTTTTTTTTTTTTTTTTTTTTTGAAGACCCCCAAATTTTAGGTCACTTAGAAAATCAAAAGATCATTTCCTCTTCCCCATTCCCTTAAAATTCTTTTAAAGTGAGATTTTTAGAAGTCAACTACATTTTATGTGAAACTGATACAATTTATTAAACTTAAGAGGCGATTCTCTATATTTTTGAAATCGGTTAACATAAATTATTGCAAGTCTTTCTTCCCTAATTAAAACTGTTTTTCAAGCACTAATATATAAAAGGAAACGAATCATAAGACCAATAAGACCATGTATAAAGGCTTTACATCCTAGAGCCAAAATCCCAAATCTTTATATTTGTGATATAATATCATATATGTCCATTTGATAAAAGTCAAACGACCCCTATTGCATTATTACGTGCCCCTCTCATCCCTCATTTCGTCTCTAAACAAAACTGCATATTTTGTAATTAAAAGAGTGAACTCTTACAAGGGTCACCTTAAGGCTGAAGAAAATCGGCCACCGTATATAGCAGCCATCCTTCTATAGGCAAAGAGATAAACTAGCTAGCGCCCATGACCACCATCGCGGTGGCTGTAGACATCGGTGGTCACGGTGGAGGCAATGGAAGCAAACGCGCTGTTAAATGGGCGGTCGAAAATCTCTTGTCTCAAGCTGATCACTTTGTTCTAGTTCATGTCATGCCTACCATCACCCACATCCCAACTCCATGTAATGCCTCTCTCCCTCTCATCAAAATATGAAATGAACGTATTTATTAATTTAATTAATCTTAATCTACCATTATTTATTACTTATTATCAATTAGAAGATTTTTTTTTTTTTTTTTTTGGATTTATGTGGTTGATGGGTTTACGTCAACGTGATCCAAACTAATTTTTGTACCAAAATTTAACCAAATTTTTTTTTAGCTGTGCATCAAATTTTGTAGATCATTTGAGAATTTCTATACAAAACCAAAATATTATATTGTCAAAACCTTTATTATTGACTATTTCTTATCATTTGTTGCAATTCTCAAACTTGGCTTTTGATATGTAAAACTAAATATTGTAATTTGTATATTTGCGATCAACACATTTTCATTATAATTCTTACATAAATTATATTTCTACTCATAGCTTTTCATATGTATGAAGAGTTGGTTGAAGACTATAGAGCATTTCCTCTGTTTTTTTTTTTCCAAAATAATGCTTTTTTCCTCTTTAGATGATATGATTTTTTTTTTTTTTTTTTTTTTTTTTTTTTTTTTTTTGTGTGAGATTTTTCTTTCTCCCGCATCACATACAATGACGCATTTCACATGGATATGTTGTAGGGGGCATTGTTGTAATTGACATTTTCGAACTTTTTTTGTATTATTAAAAAAACTCTATGTCCCAATTTATATGCTACATCAAGTGAAATTACAGAAAAGCCCCCACTAAGCCCCCACATCAAGTGAAATAAGTGGCCAAGTGGGTGAATGTAAGTTCAAGTTTTAGAGAAAAAATAAAGATGATAACTCATATGAAAATGTGGCAAATAAAAAACCAAAAGGCTCAAAAGAAATATGTCGCAAATAAAAAGGGACAGACAGAGTACTCAAAAATTCTAGAAAAGCTATGGATTGATTGGATTCTTATAAAATGCATTTGGAGTCCCAGATTCTAATTTTAGAAAAGCTATGGATTGATTGGATTCTTATAAAATGCATTTGGAGTCCCAGATTCTAACACTTGCACTTGAACAAAAATTAGAAGTATTTCTTAATTTCTTGCTGATTATTTTACTTCATATTCAGCCGGAAATAGTATCCCAATCACAGAGTTAGACACAAAAGTTGTGGCAAAATACATGGAGGATGTTAGAGAAAAATCTCAAGCAGTTTTCCTACAATACAGAAGACTCTATAAACCAGGCGAGGTAGTACGTGTTTCCTAGTCTCCTTCTATCACTCTACTCTTTATTTTGTCTCCTGTAACCCGCTTAATTAATATTATGCATTATCTTCGATCTAAGCATGTCCTGAACAACAGGACAATGTCTGTATTAATTCAAAACGGAGGAAGTATATACGGAGTAATAAACAATCCATTATGTAGTACATGTTAAGTTGTGACATATCCATTAGCATAACAATGTTAAACTCATATCTTTCAGATGCAGTTTGAGACTTTGCTGATAGAGTATGACAATATTGCTGCTGGACTTGTCAACTATATAATGGAGGCGAATGTCAGAAGCTTAGTTCTGGGATCTGAATCATTGAATCGCTTTTGGAGGTAAACATGGCTTCAGAATCAATTAGTGATCTTAGCTCATATAACACTCAGGTCCAGAGTTACAGCATTTCGATGCAATTTTGCTGTCATCAACATCTGAGTTACATTGTGCATTAAAATGCTCCTTTCTGTATGTTCTTTAAGATAACAATTTCGAACATTTTGATTGTCAGGAGAATAAAAGGCCATGGAATACCACAACTTGTGCTAAAAAATGCACCTGATACCTGTGATATATTTGTTGTATCCAAACGAAGAGTGAAGACTAAAGTCGCTAGTTCAATGACCACAAACGGTATATGTTTACTTCTTTTTATTACGAAAATGCTAGGGTGACTGTTATTCTCCAGCAGTAATTTTAACTGAAATCAGACTGTGTCAACAGAAACTGGTGGCAATAAATTACCTATAGTGGTGACGACAGGGCAGACACCTCTACACTCTTCCTCTTCAGTTGAGCCTAGTACAGGATTCTCACAATCAGAATTTAGTCAATCGATCTCTTTAACAGATGTACGTCAAGGGTCTTACAGTAATGATATCAATGCTCGAAGCAATACTAGTCATAGCTCCACGACTTCTGCCTATACGGATGCTTCCTCAGTCGGACAGATGTCCACTTCTGATACTCTTGTGTCTTATGAGCAGGTGTGTTTTTGTGTGATTCTTCTCGGGATAGTTGTTACTTGTTAGTGTCTTTCTTCTGCAGCCTTTTGTTCTCAAGATTCTTCTGAACTGCTCTCATACTGTATATTTTTACTGTCAATTTGTTGCAGTTTGACTTGCATAATGATGTAGAACAACTGCGATTAGAGTTACAGACTACCCTGGCTTTGTATAATCGAGCTTGTGAAGATCTAGTCCATGCTCAAAAGAAGGTAGGAGTCTGATTTTTGACACAGCAGTTACATACTTCTTCCATCGTAAGTCCTCCGATCCTCTTCCTTACGGCCTATCGTTGGTTAAAGGCTAGGAGAGTGAACTTAGGCTAGTCTTATATTTACAGTTACGGAATCTAGTATGAAAATCAAGCGACAGCGACCACTGGCTGGTCATGACTGTGGTGTGAGTAAACCAGTTGAGAGAAAGAAGAAAGCACAAGAGAAATGGGTGCCTAGGGTGCAAGCCCAACCAGACAGTGAGTTGCATCATGAGAAGGAGGCGCAGACCCCCCTTCTTTTAGATATAAGGTCAATGACTAAAAATAAAAAAGAAAAGACAGATGCCGAGAGAAACTGTTAGACTTCTTTATTGCGTTGCGCAAAAAAAGGGGCTTACGTTTTTCAGCTCCATCGCACTGCCGCATAAACAATGGATCCGCTGGGCTGGATGAGCAACCTTTTATTTGGCCTCTGATATTTAACTTTGCACTTCTAAATTTATACGGAGACTAAGCCGTGTTAAAAAGCTGTAAGTCTTAGTACCGCACTCATCAGGGGAAATTGATTATGTGCTAAAATTTGCAGGTACGAATTCTCTCCTCAGAATGTGTTGTGGAAGCAGAGAAGATAAATGCTGCTACAGAACGAGAAGAAACTATGAAGAAAATTGCTGAGCAAGAAAAAATGAAGCTCTTGCGAGCTGAAAAAGATGCCCAAGCAGCTAAAAACTTGCTAGCCAAAGAATCTTATGAACGGCAGATAGCAGAACTCAATGCTTTGAAAGAGTTCAAAGAAAGACAAAAAATCGTTGATGCACTCATTTCAAATGAAAGGAGAATTAGAAGGTACACACCAGATGAGATTAGAGTGGCTACAGAAGACTTTTCGGAGAAGAAAATTATTGGTGAAGGTGGATATGGTAAAGTTTACAGAGGTACGCTTGATCACACACCGGTTGCAATAAAGGTGCTTGAGCATGATGCAACTGACAAGAAGGAAGAGTTTCTCAGAGAGGTACGTCTTCACTTTTGTTGTGCACCATATTAGAGAAGATGAGAGAAAATAAACACCTTATATAAACTTCTTTTGGGTTTGTAAAAGGTCAAAATTTCCACCTTCATGGATTGCCCTTACCTATTTTCATATCTTCTCAGAAACTTAACTTCAGTTTTACATCACCTTTAAATTTTCGAATGTTTTTGCATAAACTCCTTTATATATACCGGTTACCTCTGCAAAGTCTCATGGTGTTCTGAATAATCTTCTGCAGATCAGAATTTTGAGCCAACTATGCCATCCAAACATTGTGTTACTACTTGGAGTATGTTCTGAAATGGGTTGTCTTGTGTATGAGTACATGGAAAACGGAAGCTTAGAAGAGCTTATTTTCCGCCAAAAAGGAAGAGCACCTCTTCCTTGGTTTGCTAGATTCCGTATAGCCTTTGAAATTGCTTGTGGTCTTGCATTCTTACACCGCAGAAAACCTGAACCTATTGTGCACCGTGATCTTAAACCAGGGAATATCTTGTTAGGAAGAAACTATGTGACTAAAATCAGTGATGTTGGGTTAGCCAAACTTGTATCTGATAACATTCCAGATTCAGTTACAATGTTTGGTAACTCCTTGCTTGCCGGAACCCTATACTATATCGATCCAGAATATCAAAGAACTGGTACTGTCAGACCAAAATCAGACCTGTACTCTTTTGGGATAATACTTCTCCAGTTATTAACAGCTCGAAGTCCAAATGGGCTTTTATTGGTCATGGAGAATGCGATTGCTAGTGGTTCTTTGCCATACATACTAGATGATTCCATCAAGGACTGGCCACTTGCAGAGGTAGAGGAATTGACTAAGCTTGCATTAGAGTGTTGTAAGCTCAGATGCAGAGATAGACCAGATCTTGAAACAGTTGTCCTTCCGGTTCTGAGGAAACTTGCTGATGTTGCCGATGCTAGTATGAAAGTTGAACGAAACAGTATTTTTGCACCCAGTCACTACTTCTGCCCTATTCTTCATGTAAGATTTATTTTCCGAATTTCCTTTTTATTTTCTGGTTGATATAAAAGCTTTGATTAATGCTAGATACTTAGCAGAACTTTGTTAGAAAACTCTGACTGTAAGCACACTTAAGTGGGGCGTCCCTTCTCAGATACCCCTAACTATAAAATGGTCTGAGACAGTAGTCTTCTGAATTCTCAACAGCATCCATTGACAGGAGCAACGAGCTGATAGCTAATAGAGCAACATTTTCAAGCTCAAGCACTCTAACAAAACAGCTATATACTCCGTATTAGATCATCATTGAGCCTTCTATGTCATGTTGCAGGAAATTATGGATGATCCACATGTTGCAGCAGATGGATTTACATATGAGCGTAGAGCAATAGAAGCATGGCTCGAAAGGCATGACATTTCTCCTGTGACTAAGCAAAAAATGACTCATTTTAATCTTACTCCCAACATGACCTTGCTTACCGCCATACAAGAGTGGAAATCTCGTTTAGCTTCTACACATCCCTGATGAAGAAGGTGAACCCATCAAACACTGTATAGCTTCACACAGATTTGAATTTTATTCTTTGGGTTTCCTTTTCTACCATCAACTTTTTTTTTTTTTTTTTACTTTCATCCTCATTTATACACATACCTTAATGTATATATGAGTAGCTGGTTGAACCGCAATAGTAGTTGAATCACATAATTCGGAGAAAAATCTCCATGTCCAGCTGCTCTTCTTACAGAAGTTTTAATGAGTGTATACTTTGTACATTTACAAGTATTGAACGAGTTTGAAGCAATCACTTGACTTATGCTTCGATTTTATTTCATGACGCTAAGTCCTTGCACAATGAAAAGAAAGCATTTGTAGAGAGTAACTAGTTATGTCTAACTTCAACAGTTGCATTATTTTATCTTACAAACAGTTTAAGAATTCAGACTATCATAGACTGTAAGTAGAGTTTATGTTTACCTGACCACTAATAGTTGCGTTTAAACGGTGTTGAATATAAGAAAAAAAAAATAACAAAAAAAAAAAAAAATGGTGCTTTCCTTTCAACTTTCTAGTAGAAGGCATGATTGCATTAGTTGTATAGTTAACCAATTTGATCAGTTTATAATTTATAAACTAAGTTTGATAAAACATAGCTAATATAACTACTTATAATTATTCTAGTGTAAAATGACAAATAAATAAGATGTATAACTGAATGCTTAAACGATCAAGTTCGAAAATTCATTGTCATCTCGGTGCCTACAAAGGACTTCATTGCTCTTCAAACATGATTAAACACAATAAAGTATGCATGAAATTAACCTATATCAGAATCTTAAGAGAACAATTTACAATGCAAATCCATAAGGTTGCATTTGACAACCAAACTATACTATATACTCAGCAACAATAAAAAATGTCCTTGTATTAACACTACTGGTAGTCATCTTCTAGATCTGATTTACAATCTATAATTTGGACAAGCTAATTGTAAGCAAAATTACCACAGCTTAAGTGAGCGGCAAACAATGAATCTATGACTTCAATCTTCATGAATCAGTTTCACAATTGACTATACTAACTATATGAAGTATAAGAAAAGAACTAACTATTAAGTCAAATAAATTTGGTTGGATTTTTATTTATTCCTATGCTCCTCGTACAAGAACTTTATCCATTGAAGTCTTGAGTAGTCATCCGGTATGCCATGAAGAATTGTCCTCTTTTGAGGATCCTCAATCAAGGTGCATGCAAAGCAGAATTCAGGGCTACCAGGGACTAAGCCGGGCATAGACACTATCTTTGCTAGAGATTCAACGAGTGTATGAGAAGAATCAACCAACTTACGTGCTTCAAGACTCATTAACTCCATAACTTTAATATTCCTATCAGTAGCAGCTTTCCCCATAGAATCAAGCTTCTCCATCAGCATTCTAGCACCTACTGCTGTGGCAAGTTCAGTCCTACAGCTCTTATGACTTTCTGAAGCACCATTCTCAAAAGCTCTTTTGCTACCGCTTCCGCTTCCCTGTCCTCTACATTGAAGGGGAGTTGGAGAAGGAATTGGGGTATGGTCATTATGAGGTTCTTGTTGTTCCATATCATCTAGGCTGCAGTTAAAAGCATTATTCTCACTTATTTCATCATCACAGTTGTATGGTGCATCACCGACATTCAAACTTGGGGGTGAAGTAATAGGAACTGCTTCCTTTTCACATTGAACACCTTGGGAACAGTCGATGACCGGAGTATGACTATACATTCCTTGATCAACTGAAACTCCAAAGAGTTGTTCCATCTTGTTTTCAAGTTCGGGTTCAATCCCTTCATCTTTAAATGCTCTGAAATGCATATTTTCCTTTAAAGAAAGGTTAATGGAATCAAAATTCAACTTATTTCACTAATTCTCAAAAATTGAAGTGATTAAATTAAACAAGTAATGGTAAAGGAACTAACCTCAATCTTTTTCTTCCACCAATCCTCACTAGCAGTTATAGTTCCTTTTTCATGATCCCAGTCTAAACCCATTTCTTCTCCTTTCAATGCTTTCCAAAGGCTCCATCTACTTCTCATCCAATCCCACTTGTTTTTAAGTTTGTTCCTATCGTAGGCTAAATTTGTCCTTTTTCGAAACTCTACTTCGAGTGTTTTCCATGGCATTCTTCGACACATCATAGCACCATGTTTTCCCTTTCCTCTTTCAGCATATTTGATACACAAATCACAAAATAGGTGTAAATTTTCTTTGGACCAATTAGCCCGACTCAAATCTTTTCCCCCAACTTCATTGTCTCTTTTCTTCTTTGGTGCCATCTAAATTTAGATAAGAAACAAAACACATTTAATATGTCCTTTCTAATGAAGTCCACATAATTTTTTTTTATGGTTATAAGTTACTAGCTTTAAAAGTCGGATGAGAAAAGTCACTAAAGCAACCATAGAAGTAAGGAAAGCTCTGATATACTACAAGAATGCAATTATGAAGTAAAAACACTAAGCAAACATGAATAATAAAATCTAGATATTTGGTGGAATCCATTCATGCCCTCCTTAAAAACACACCATTCTAATGAAGTATTACCCTTATAGGCGTATGACCCGTTTGGTAGGTGGCAATAATGGCATTAATGAAATGGCTTTGTGTGTGAGTATGCAAGAAAGTATCAGGTCAATATTTATGGTAATGCAACCTCATCCCAAACATGCTTCTTCATAAATCTTCATTACTATTTAAAATATTTTGGGGTAAGTACCATTAACATGGGCATCGACATAGGACTTTCCTTACAAATTTACATACAAAAGCATTTTCTTCCCATTTATTACCACCTACTAAACAAGCCCTAAAACAACAAATCAAGCTACTTTACATATTGAACAAAAATTCCCATTTTTTAACCAACAATACATGAATAACAATATTGTAGATTGAGGATTATTTCGATACATATGCACCTGTGGCTAAAATCTCAACTATAAGGTTGTTGATAGCTCTTGCGGCTACCCATAATCTTGATAGATCTAGAGGAAGAGGTTTACATGCGACAACCGAAAGGGTTTGTTGTGGATGGCCAAAAAGGAAAAGTTTGCAAGTTGATTAAATCTTTGTATGGGCTTAAGCAAGCACCTAAGCAATGACATCAAAAGTTTGATGAGGTTGTGTTGTCTAATGGATTCAAGTTAAACAATTCAGACAAGTGTATATATAACAAATTTTATGACAACGGTCAAGGTGTCATAATTTGTCTATACATAGATAACATGTTGATCTTTGGAACGGATTTGTCACAAGTTGAGATGACAAAATCTTTCCTTAGTTCTCAGTTTTCTATGAAAGGTATGGGAGAAGCGGATGTCATCAAGAATAAAGAGAGAAAAAGGAAAGTTGATTTTGTCACAATCTCATTACATTGAGAAAGTGCACAAGAAGTTCAATGTTAATGATAATTCAACTTCTCTTTACTCAACACCTATGGATCCTAGCGTAAAATTATTACCAAATGAAGGTAATGCAGTTTCACAACTGAATACGCAAGAGTGATAGGTTGTTTCATGTATGCCATGACAAGTACTAGACCGAATAATGCTTATGCAGTTGGTCAACTAAGTAGGTATACTAGTAATCCAAGTATGCTACATTGGCAAGCAATTCGACGTTTGTTAAAGTACTCGAAGAAAACATAGAATATGGTTTGTCTTATAATGGATATCCCTTAGTTGTGGAAGGATTTTCGGATGCAAGTTGGATCTCTAACAAAGATCATTCCTCCAAAAGTGGTTGGGTTTTCCTATATGGGGGAGATGCTATCTCATGGGCATCTAAGAAGCAAACTTGCATTGCGGATTCCACAATGACATCGGAGTTCATTGCTTTGCATTCGGCTGGTAAAGAAGCTGAATGGTTGAAGGATCTCACATTTGAGATACCTTTGTTACCAAAACCAATATCACCAATTGTGATAACAATGCAACTTTGGCTTGGCTAAGGCATATACCAAGTGTAAGTCAAGGCACATTGGTGTAAGGCATAGTTACATCCAAGAACTTATCAAGGATAGTGTAATCACTATTGACTATGTTCGAACGAATTTCAATCTTGTCGATTGCTTCACAAAGCATTGGCAAGAGATGTAAATAAGAGGATGGCAATCAATTTGGGATTGGAGCCCTATGATAATCACGAATAAGGAAATCTTAACTCGCGCCCAATAAGACGTTGGGTCTTAAGTTCAATAAGATTAATTTCCTTATTGGATGATTGGGAACTTGGTATTCATCCTAGGTAAAGTCCGGTTTTTCTATGATGAAAAGAAATTGTTTATCTTAATAGATCTTTTGACATTGTGCTTTGTCACAGGAGCATGTTTATGAAGGATCTACCTATACAGGTAAAAGGTTTGGTCGCTTCAAGAAGTTATTTGGGCATAGTTTTCATGTACTTATGAATAGATATGGACACATGGCCAAAACACATCAAGTATATAATGTATTCAAGTTATTTAATCTTGTGTGTGTAATATCTTCAAGTTTCTAATACGTATTGCTATTTGTTCAAATGTTAACGATACCAATTGGATATTGATTCTTGGAATGTATATTATACTAAGTGAAAGTTCAAGTCTTTATACACTTTCATGTATGCATAAGATTGTTTTTTGTGATGATGATGTTTAGTGCAATAAATCTGTTTAAATACTCTAAATGGGGGAGGATTCAGGGGTGTATATTAATTTAGAGTTTTAGAGATTAATTTCATGTTTATTTTTCTTAATAAGCATTGGTTGAGGTGTGACTAATTAAGAAAGACAAAGGACTAGAGCAAGAATAAAGGTTAAATACTTACGATCGGGCACGATACAATTTGACTTGAGTATAAATGACGGTTATTGTCAAACGGTGCCTAGCCCGATCGGACACAATCTTGGATAAGTATTGATTATGACAATTATAGTCAAACATTACAATTTTGGATATGTGTTGATTATTATGACGGTTGGTGTCAAACATTTTCTTGCTCTTGATATATATACACTAATATATGAAGGAAGGTGGCGTATGATATCAGTGGGTAATCTCCTTCATTTGTCTATTTTTGCATGCTCATAATTATAATATTTTATCATCACAAAATAAGACAAACACTTGTTTACATTTAATTGCTTTTATACTACACATAATTGCAATTGTTCTTCGTTGTATCTTCTAAGTAATTTCGTGATACCCAGGTTACTATAGGGTCGAAATATCACTTTTGGGAAAGTGATTTCGTTCACGCCTCCAAGGTTTCAATAGTTGTTCATATTCCATCATCTTTGTGACCCTTGTTCAATCATATTCCCCAACAAATATAGGGATGGGAAAAGTGATATACTATATCCGTTCCAAAATAAATGCATCACTGAGAGTTATGTATTGTATAAGTGGAGCTTAATTATTTTAATAAAAAGACAATGATGATTGTGAAAGAGAGAATGTGATAGAGTCATTTATTTTATATAATAATTCAAGTGAGGACTTTGAGAAAGAAATAATACAATATTTTGAGTTGGGATTATGGGAAGAGGGAGAAATAATAATAATAATAATAATAATAATAATAATAATAATAATAATAATAATAATAATAAATAAATAAATTAAAAATGGTTGAAGTTACCCAAATTAGAAATAACACATTTATTTTCGAACAGACGAATAAAGCAAATACTGCATTTATTTTGGAACAGCGGGAGTCTTACCTAATGAAACTCAATAAATACATAATTTCAACTAAGGAGCATCCATGCACTTTAATTTTTTTTTGTTCTTTTTTTTATCTGTTTTTTTTTTTTTTTTTTTTTTTTTTTTTTTTTTTGGAATAGATGCTTCTTATCAATACTTGATTCCAAGACTGCTATCTAGAAACAAAAGATGAAGCCACTGCTTAAACCTAGCTACTTAATTCCTCGCAGGAAATTAGTCAAAAGTCTGTAAAATTCTAAAGCATGATACCAAAGACTTAAGCCGGGAGTAGAAGATCCACCTCAGTGCATGATGACACTATATATATAACACACCTGCTATAAAAGTTGGAGATGTCTTACAATCATGCATGAACTACTCATATAATAAATTTAAGGTTAAGTAACGGAGATCATTTACTTGGTTTTTTTGGGTGATTACAATTTTCAGCTAAAACCAATTAAGATTTTGGGCTTACTTCTAAATATAATTGAGCCTCTACAAGGTCACACACAGGGTATTTGGTCAAATCAAGATAGACTAATGGGTTTGGGACCATTACAGTCGCACATCTATAATGGACAGTTGGGCTAGGCTTAAAAAAACTGCGTAAATCATTATAACCAAAAGAAAACCCTATCCCTAAAACCATGCCACAGTCACCTGTTTGAGTGAGGGTGAGGAGAATGTTTCTTTTCTATCAATTATTCAATCTAACAAAATTGAAGTGATCTGATATAGTGTGGATCAAGTAAAGAAATCACACTTAGGATTCTTCTCTCCATCATTACGCGTATTGCTAATAAGAATTCACGCAGAGGTTTATCAGACTTCTATTAAGATTCGAGAATTCCGTACTTTTTAGTATCATACCCCAACAATAAAAGCATAAATTTAGTAGCTTAGGCATTGACTATTTGATCACTCCATGCATTACAGCTTAACCATTTATTTAGCAATAGAACTTATAAACTACTTCAGCAGACAAGCATTACAGGTTAAATCTTCTACGCAAATTCTCAAAAAAGCAAACTTGGCAAGAATGTTTTGCAGCACATACGTGCCAATTTTTTACTAATCAATAAGAAGATACTCTGAACACTTATAAGAAAATTTCAATTGTGGGAACAAAGAAAATAGAGGGATTAAGATTATGTTCACCTCACCTTGATTTCACTTATTTCAAGTGTCTTAAGTTCAGATAAAATAAGTGCTAATAACTTCAGCATAAAATAAGGGCTAACAACTTTAGACAAGATAATACTTCCTCCATTTCCCTAATATTGCAACATTTACTATTTTAGGATGTTCCGCAAATATTGCAACACTTTAACACACTTTCTCTCTATCTCTTTCCTCATCACATGGGTCTATGTCTTTGTTCTCTCTCTCTCTCTCTCTTCATCTTAAAATTTGTACATACCTCCCTTGTTGCAATATTAGGGGGGGAAGAGGAAGTATAAGGTTGATACAAGTAAGATAAGATAAGGTAAAGGCTAATATGTTCCAATAAGGTCATGTAAGACCTTTATAAATTATTATAAAGTCCAATAAGGTCTAATAATGCTATCAAAAAATAAATAAATAAATAAATAAATAAGGTTTAATAAGGTCCAATAAGAGAATAATATGATATAAACTAAGGGGCCGTTTGGTTCACACGTGGTAATCGCAATGGAATGAACAAAGGGAAAGAAAAGGAATGGAACGAAAATACCTTAAATTTTCTATGTTGTTTGTTTAAAAAACAAAGGAAAACAATCCCACCAGTCCCACCACCATACAACCACCTAAAACCTTCACTTTCCACTTTTTCCAGCCACCAAACCACTCGCAGCACCTCCCTCACCATTCGCCTCCCTTCGCCGGCCTTCCCCTGCCCTCCCTGCCCCCCGCACAGCTTTCCCCTCCCTCGAAAAACCTCCCTCAGCCCCCGAAAAACCCTAGAAACCATTCTCACTTGCCTTAAAACCCGTCGGCCGCCCTTCCCCCACCCCGAGGGTAGGAAAAGAGAATGGTTTCTAGGGTTTTTCGAGGCTGAGGGAGGTTTTTCGGGGGAGGGGAGAGATGTGCGGGGGGCGGGGAGGGCCGGCAAGGGGCGGGGGAGTGCCGGTGAAGGTGCGGGAAGCAGTGACGGTGCGGTGGCTGTGTTTTCCGGCGGTTTGGGTAGGTAAGGCAGTAGTGGTATGGTGGTGTGGTGGTGGCTAAGGAATGGGAATGGAAATACCTAGGGGGGGTGGGGAATCAATTTGGAAGGATTTGGGGGAATGGAGAGGGTAAAGGGAATGGGAAAAAAGTCCTAACAAACAACAACAAAGGGAATGAGGGCAGTTGATTCCCATTCCCTTTGATGAATACCCTCAACCAAACGGCCCCTAAAATATGTTCTAATAAGGATTAGTAAGTTCAAATAACAAGGACTAATAAGTTCTAATAAGATAAGTTCAAGGCCACTAAGATTATATAAGTGAATTTCGGTGAAGAGAACACCACCTAAGGCAATATTTGAAGAAACCAAAACTAAGATGGTGAGCTTGATATAACAAATACACTCAATTTCAACTAATTTTGTCCTCAACTAAAAAACGAAAATCTCAACAATCTAAAGCCATGTCATCAAAAACTAGGAATGACTTTGCGACCGTTGAATATTAAAAAAAAATATAAAAAAATATCAAGACTATGAAGTTTGATTGAGAACTAACAACTTGCTTCCAACATCCTACTCCATATAGTTTTCTTTAACTGCCATTCTTTTTAGGTTAAATCAGTGCCTTCATAGTTCATAAGAAACCCAAATTATAGCAATCCTTTCTGAACTTACATCTGATATTGGAGACAGAAGTACACACACCTCAGTGCGAAACACTTGCTTTCCAACTAAGTTACGAAACACAGAGGAAACACAAAAAACAGAAAGGGAAAACAGAAAAACTGAGAAAAGCCTCACGTAAAGAGCTATCAATCAAGTCAAGTGTAAAGTCCTTTTTAGCAGCAATAATTTGCTAAACAAGATTAAAATCCCAAGACAATAAAGCAAACCTTAGAATATAACTTTACGTAGTGCTGCACCAATGCACCACATACCCAAGCACCCAACCAAACATGACAATAACTCACCATAGCACCTTCACATAGAAGGCAATAACCGAACCAACCTTAATGACATACTAAGTACTTCGTAACTAACTAACCTTAATGACATACTAATTCAAAGAACCGGGGATTTCGCAACTAACCAACCTTAATGAAATACTAAGTACTTCGTATATCTTTTAATTTTGCACTAGTAAACAATAAAGCATCAAATCGAAAGGAACAAGGGATTCACAACCAACCAACCGTAATGAATGACCACATATCTTATAACTTTCTCCTAGTAACAACAAAGCATCAAATACAAAGAGCCTATCAATTTTATAAAATAAAAATAAGTTTATGTAAGACATTCTTAATATTAACCCAAATTGCTAAGACTAAGACACTTCCCTTGAATTTCGATTTCGTCGAAGCCAAGTTCAAGCTTATTTTACCACATTATCCACCCACTAATTCACTAAAAATCTAAAGCATAGTTATGATAACAGAACAATTTCTTGAATAATTACACCAATTACCAAGTAAATTCAATAAACCTCCAACAGGGTAATACTTCTAATTATGATCACAAAACATTGATCATTTCCACAACCCATCACACAATAATTTCATGCGAATTTAAAAAAAATGAATATAATAAAAATAAAATAGAATTCTAATTTAATTAACAATTGAATTTTAAAACTGACCTGAAAATGCGCAATTCTTGGCCTTTTTTCATGCAATTTTTTCCTGGGGAGGAACCATTTTTACCTAATAATACAGAGAGAGAGGATGATTTAATGCTGTCAGAAACAGAGGTTGCCGGAAATTTTCGAAAAAAATATAAGGACAATTACAGGAAAAAGGGAAAAAAAATCAAACAAAAAATTGAAATTGAAGAAACAGAAATCAGAAAAAATCAGATCATCTAACCTATAGTTGATAAATTCAAATTTTGTAGCGATTTTGCAAAGTCGAATTTGCAGTTGGGTCGTAGAAAGACGTAAAATGGAGAATTTCTGAATTTGGGATTTGCCTACTTTGACTCTGTTAGTTCGTAGCTGGTTTATTTATTCAGAAAAAAAAAAAAAAAAAAAAAAAAAAAAAAAAAAAAAAGTTCGTAGGTGGTTTATTTTCTAACTTAATTTTCTTTATTTTATACGAGTATTTTAATTTATTCAATCACTTTTAATTCAAGTTCTTCTCGAGGCCTAGCTTCTTGTTTTGCACCAAAAAAAACTTTTAATTCGAGTTCTATTTTTGGAAGTGGTATAAATTTTCTCAAACAAAAAAAGATTTTCCATTTGGTACCAATTTTTATTTTTATATTCCACATGATACCATTGTATGATTGTAATTTCGAATTATTAACCACTATAACATCCCGTTAAATAAAACATTTGTTTAGGGCATTTGTGGGTTTTTTTTTTCCCCAATTTCGACTTCAAAATTTGATCCTTAAAGGTTATAATGACATCCAAAACTTTGATTGGACATTTTTTTTGCGTGAAAAAAATCAAAATATGCAAATTGAGACATGTTTCTTACACGTTAACCAAGGCATTTTTAAGTGTTTTTGGCTAATTTCGACCTAAAATTTGAAACTTAAGGGCTTAAACATCCCCTTAAAACCTAAACCAATCAATTTTTATGGCACCAAAATCGAAAAATCAAAACAAGTTTGATAGAATGTTACAGTATAGAATAAATTAAAAATATAGTGGTACCATATGGAATCCAAAATGAAATTGGGTACCAAATGAAAAGTCTAAAATACAATTGTACCAAATAGAAAATCCCCAAAAAGAAAAAGGAAAAAAAAAAGAAAAAAAAGGTGGCATTAAATCGGATCCTTGCTTGGTATCAACTATCAAGTTGGCCCACAATTGGGTTAAAACGAGACAATTTGGTCTTATGCGTTGGGTCATTGGTCAAGTTGGTTATTTTTCTAGTTATATTAATTAAGTTTGGCAATTTGGGTTAGGTCATATTCAGTTGGATCAAAAACAAGTCAGATCAAATCTAGTTCATGTTTTGTAACACAGTCAAGTTGTAACTTGAAAGCTTGTAACAAATTGGGTGAAATTGGGTCAATTAGTAGCCACGACAAGTCATCAATTATTTCTCGAGTTGAATTAGTGCTAGGTTAGTTGATAGCTGATGGGCCATTTATAATTCGAGTCTATTACATATCGAGTTATCTTTGGGTTGTAGATCAAATCTAGGGTCTTAGATTAGGTTACATATCGAGTCAAATTGAGTACAATTTAACGTTAGATTAGGTTATATTAGCTATTGGTTTGGAGAAATAAAATCATCAAATCCCATGTGACTCATTTCATTCTCAAAGTTTTGACGATACATTTGGTAAGAAGTCATAAACTGCATGAATGATTATGGATTTATATGTAACATTGCAAGAAAATCATATATGATCATTACCATGTCAAATTGTCTATGGAAGTCCACCAATAAACTTGTGTTTTTGTTCCCAAACCTTCATTACCAAACTAGCACCTCTAAAATGAAATTAGATGTTAATGGAAATTTTTGAAGAATTGCATAACCATGTGCATTTAACATTGGCATAAAATCTTTTTCACAAAAAGTTATTATAAATAAAAGTTATTTATAAATGAAAGTTATTTGTTGTTTACTATTGTTTGGATCCAATTTACCAATTGGGTCGGTCACCAAATAACTACATCAAAGCCCAAATAAGGTTCAACTCTCCAAATATATGCCAAGTAAGTCAAAGCAGGCCCAGTCAACGTGGCAAGCCCACAAGGCAAAGAGGCCCGTTAAATCTATTTGAGTAAGGTTTAAAAGCCTTCACTTCTCTCTCTCTCTCTCAATTCATTCACATTAAGTCTCAAGCAATCAATTCTCTTGCATAGCTTTCTCTCTCTAAACACTATACTGACTTCGGCATTGGAGGGGCCTTCCTCGGCACAACCCCCGAGGCCAGTTTACGTGAGTTTGCTGTGCAGGAAATCCTCGTCCCAATCATTACTTGGGCCGAGTCCAGTCTTCAGCCCACAAGAAAGGTCCATCCGAAGGACCCATTGTTTTCACCCGAAACAATTTGACGCCGCCTGTGGGGAAGACAATCAAAACAAGAAAAAAATCAATCATCTTAGCAACATGACTAAAAACGCGAAGAAAACTAATCCTTCTTCCTCGAAGAAGGGTCCTTTTTCATCTTCATCTTCGGAGGAAGAAGGTTCACCTCCTTAAGCCTCATCTAAGAGAGCCACGCCGGAGAAAACACCTCATAACACTGACGAACCATCAAGTTCACGCTGGCCAAGCCATTCTAAGGCTAGGAGTCTTACTCCTAGTCAGCAATCTCAATCTCACCCGAGGAGGACAACCCAGACGAGTCCCACTTCGGAAGAAGTGGCTAATGCCCTAACGGTTTTCATGGACTTCATGAAAGCCCAAGCAAACCAACAGTTCCCACCTCCTATCTCCTTGGTGCGCACTTATACAATCGAGCAACCGAGAAACCAGAGAAGGAGGATAAGTCAAAAGGATGGAGGACGAATTCCATCTCATAAAAAGCTTAAGGAGCATTGGGAAGAGGATACTTGGAGGACTGAGCGAGAGAGAAAAAGAAACCGCCATTTCTTCAAGGAAATCGAAGACCAAAGCTTTGGAAGCAGCAACATCGCTTCCACACGACTAAAACTACCCGCCGAAAAGTTCACGAACGTATCGGCTCAAGGAAGGTGAGCATTCACAACCGCCTCACCTACCATGATGGAACTCAACCCTACCCTTCACAGTCCCAGCCGAGGACGAAAGTCACTTCCGCCTCTCACAGGGGAGGAAGCGAGGTCCCAACGGCGGAGACCAAAGGGGAGGCCATTATGGTTCTTTCCAATTACCCATTCCAAAAATGGATTGGAAGAACGAGCGCCAACAGTAAAAATCCCGGCACACATCACGTATGATGGAACTTCGGATCCGAAGGACTACCTCATACGAGGGGCACATGTATCTAAACCCCAGGTCCGAAGCGACTTGGTGCAAATATTTCCCTACTACCCTCAAAGGTGTTGCGTAAGCGTGGATCACCAAAGGGGTGAAGGAAGGCTCAATAACCGGTTGGAAGGACCTCTCCAACAAGTTCAAGATCGAGCAAATTCTCTATGGCAAACCGCCAAGAGATAACAACTGCAGAGCTCATGGGCCTGCAGCAAGGGGAGGACGAAAGCCTCCAAGACTATCTGATCTGCTTTAGCAACGAGTCCTCCAGAATTACAAGTCTGGACCAAGGCTGGCCGTTTTCGTGCTGCGGAACGGGCTGCGAGCCGGAAAATTCCTTGACTTCATGGTCATGCACACCCCGCAGACCTTGGAGGAAGCCCTCGACGCTTCGGATAAGTACATCTGAGTCAAGGAATGGAACAAAACCAAGTCCCAATCTCAAATAGGGACTGGTAAGGCAAAAGGACAACAGTCCAAAGGCCAGAGCCAGAGGAAAGAAAAGGCGAAAGCCTCATAACCTTCCTCGACTACTAAGCCGAAGAAAGATTAAACCCCATTCGTAGGGAAATACGAATTCTACACTCCTCTCTCTCTTCCTCGTGCTAAAATCTATAACATAACGAAGAATGACGAGAAGTGGAAGAAGTCGCGGGCGCCACCTGAAGGATTTATGTCTTCATTAAGTGCAATTACTAGATATATAATGGATCAAATTATGGAGATAATTAAGTTCTTTCTTTTGGGTCGTCGTTATATCATAGCTAGAGGTACTAACGATCTTTGGGCTAGTAAAATAGGTCAAAGCCCAATTAAACGAATCCTATAAGGTCACATAAAGGGCCTAGATTGAGGATAAGAGGAAGAGGCCAATGATGGGCTTCATCACTCTAGGTGGTCGGCCATGAGGAAGGTTTTGGAAGGCTTTGGGCTTCCTAACCTAGTCTAATTATAATAGGATTATAAATAGACTAGATGCCTAAGTTTTCATAAGAACAGTTTTACTATTAATTGAAACTCGAATTAGCAAACACGAAACCAACCCTCTCTCTCTCACGACTTTCTCCCCTCCTCGGCGCCGGTATGTGTGCACACGGTGGTGGTGGTGTTAGTGGTGGTGGTTGGTTGTCCATAAAGGTGGTGATCGCGGTTTTCCCCTTCACTCGACTAATCTAGCATTGGTGGACGGCTTGATCAAATTCCGAGGACTAAATAGAGGAGTTACGCTTGGGGCTCTATTCTCTCCCTGATTTGTCAATCAACTTGCTACGTGGTGTATTCATACGCGGAATGTATCCAGCTGAAGGATCGGATTGAGGATCTGGTCCAAAAGTGATATCTGAAAAAATACCTCGCAGACCATCTCGAGGAGAAGAAAGCCGAGCAAGAATCTCGGCAGCAGATAGACTTTAGCCGAAAGAAACACAAGTCGCAGGACAAGGAGAATCCTGACATCCTTGTCATTTCCGGAGGACGAGCTCTCGCAACGCTCGAAAGCGCCACTTGAGGGGTCTCACCCATCAAGTTAATCATGCCTCCATCCGAGGTCCCGAATCTTCGGTTCCGAACATATGTTCACAGTCGAAGACTGTCGGGGGGTGGCATACCCCCACGACGACCCGTTGGTGATCATCATGGGGATTGCAAACCACAACGTCTGGAGAACCCTCGTCGACGGTGGCAGTGCGACAAACATCCTATTTTGGGATGCTAACAATCTTCTGAAGCTTCAAACTAAGGACCTCAGTCCAGTACCCTATCGAGTTACTGGATTCAATGGTTTCGCAACATATCCAGACAAGAAGATCACCCTTCCCATCACCATCGGCAAATACAGAGCAGCCAGAAATGTCATGGTCGAACTTCTTGTCATGGACGTTCCATCTGTCTACAATGTGATCATGGGGAGACCCCTGATCCATCAGGTCTAAGGAGTGGTCTCCACGTACCATTAGATGATGATATACGTGTCGGACGAAGGCCACTCTGAAAGAACTCAAGGGAGCCAAGAAGCTGCCCGCAAATGCAACTATCTCAAACCATCCAAGGATCATCATGAAGACGAGGATGATGAGGAAAAAGAAAGAGAGAAGGACCAAAGCACCAAGAAGCAG